TATACAATCAACAGTTGAGGAACCAATCTGGCACACACAAGCGATCTTCTTTAGATTTATTAGTAAGCTTCGGACTATGTTCTCACCATCATTTAACTAATAGACGATCTAATATCGACGGTCAGCAGTGACAGCGATTGTGCTAATACAATAGCAGTGTGTCCGTATGTTTTGCACTTCCCGGGTAAACGATTTAAAAAAGGACTTCGCTAAGAAAACTCCCATTTCATTTGTATACCAAAGATCTGGTAATATTTTCATATTTTTTCTTCTGTATTCATAAAAAGTCTCCTAACAAGGTGTTATTAAATCTCTAAATCGAACTGAACTGCTACAGTCCCTGAAACGTTCTACTTTCCCATTTTTCCGTTCGCTCACCGTTCGTTCAGCGTTCGTTCACCGTTCGTTCAGCGTGCGTTCACCGTTAGCTTTTCGTTCACAGTATTGCGTCCACCGTTCACCGTGCGCTCGCGTTCACCGTTCACAAAACGTTCACCGTTCGCTCTTTGTTCCGTTCACTTTGAGTTCACCTTGCGTTCACCGTTCACTTATCGTTCAGTCTTCATTGTCATTCGGAACTCCGAAGTGAAAGGACTTATCTTTTTGATGGTAAGGATTTACATGTTTTTTAATTAAATAACTTAGATATCGTTTTTAAAGAATAATTATTTCATTGCAAAAATTATCTATGATATTTATATTTCTATATATTATTATAACCTAGCTTTTACTTATTTCATGAATTTTCCCTGGAAAATAATACATTAAGTACCTACATGTATGTAGAACGATGCTAAAATATTAACTTAAAAAAAGGGCAATGTACAAATGCTTCACGCTCGGCATCAATTTGTTGTAATTTTAAAGAGGACAAATTATTAATGGATGTATAATAATTAATCCAAGTCTTTTACAGGACAAGAATATATAAAAAAAAATTATTTCTACAGTAACACGTATTTTAACTACATATAGGTTTGAGAATTATGAACAGTATTACAAATATTCAGTAATTAAATATCTTTAGAGCTAATTAAATTGATGGCGTGGTTTTAAATTTTAGAAAAGACCAAAATGTTTAAAATAGTCTATTATTAGAGAAGGAAAATTCCTTCCTTCACCGTACCTAAACATATGTTTAAATATATGTTTGCCATTCAGTATAATTAAGACCCCCCCCAGTGCCTTTTCTCCCGAAATAAAATTTTTATTGAGTTTTTTTCAGTATATTTTAATTAATATTTAATTTGTATTGTAACACAAGAAAATCAGTCTTAAAACCAACATCAAACAGTCATTAAACAATAGTATTTTAGAATAAACTTGTGCCGACAGTAGTATTTTAAATTGGCAGGGAATGTTTCAAATTCAATTTAAAACTTAATCCTTCCAAGTATATATTCCAATCATTTTTTTTCTGCAGGAATGAAAAATCAGATATAGAAATGACAGGGAAAAATATTTAAACTTCTTGGAATACTAAGTGATTCTTTGCCTTGGGCATGTTCAGTGAAACGCGATTTCCACACCTCCACTGTGTCGAATTATTTTGATTGACAGGACAAGCACGCTACTAGCACGGACTTCCTGTGAACTGTATGAACTTGATGATGGAAAATAAAAGCCAATGATTACGGTCAAATGGATTTGTTAATCTAAAAAAAAAAGGTTACCTTTACTGCTTGGAATATTTAGGAAAAATAATAAGAATTTTAATTGATACTAAAGATATCTGAGAATCGAGGGGGTTATATCTCTCTCTCTCTTTCTCTCTCTCTCTCTCTCTCGTACATTTCTCTGTTCAATAAAAACTATGACAGCAAATTACTTATTTAGTTTTGAAAATTTAATTTATTACAAATAATTTAAATGCCTCTTTCCATCATCTTGACCGAGTATAATCACGGCCGGGAAATGTCTACAGATACATGAAGAACTGTGAAAATAATCGTCATAAAAGAATACAAAAGGCACATAAATATAGAATATTTTGCATTAAAATTTAAATAAAACGAGAGTTGTATGCAGTACGATAACAGTCAATGTCAACAGATAATTGTGAATTAAAAAAATCCGTTATTTTACTCCGAATCGCTTTGGCACGGAAATACATGTACATGTATGGTTGTTTCAACCGTGTACAATGTAATTAATTCATTCTATAAGTAGTAGTTTTATCTTCAGAAGTCCACATTATTTATTAGTGAAAATAATAAGCATATTTACTATATAAATAGATTAATTTTATATTTAATCTACACGCGTTCGGAAACAAATACATATGTTTAACAGCAATAAAATCGTGTTACAAGAATATCGATTAAAACACAAAAATGTTTTTAATATTTATTTATTAATTAATTAATTTATTTATCTATTGTTCATTTATATTAAAGCACCTGAAATTAGAATTATAGAATAATAGAATAATTTCAATGCAAGGAAAAGATCGGAGGCATTCCGAATAAATCGTTCATCTTGCGTTCACCGTTCGTTCACCGTTCACTTTGCGCTCGCGTTCGCGGTCCGTTCGCGTTCTGCGTTCACTCACCGTTCACCGTTCACACATCGTTCACCAAGTTGCGTTCAGCGTTCGCACATCGATCACCCACCGTTCGCTCTGCGTTCGCTCACCGTTCGTTCACCGTTCGTTCAGCATTCGTTCACCGTTCAGGTGGGAAAGTAGAACGTTTCAGGGACTGTATCCGGTGCGCCGTAACATCATCAAACGTCACAATTTTTCATGTTTTGTGTTTACCAATTTCGAATTTCGAATGCTCAGGAAACTGCCAAAAATTAACCAAATGCATCGAAAATAAAAAAAAAAAACGACAAAAATAGATTGTGTAATCGTACAAGGATAATTTTTATCCCAATTTTATATATTTGAAACTTTTATTTCGAATTCATACTTGTGTGTTCTCCGTTATAAAACTTTGGTTTCTGACCGTGCGCAGTAGGACTGTACCCTCTGCACATTCTAACATAATAAAATCTTTATTTTTGTCTATTGATTATCCCAAAAATCAAGAAGCACTTAAATATGATAAATAAACATTTTTTGAAAATTTCAGCTTAACGAGTCCATTATTTTTTTAAGAAAAACGTTTTGTCCACGATTTAACCGGACTTTTTTACCGGTCAACTCTCGTACTTTATGAAATTCTACAAAGTACAAAACAATAACACGATATTGCTCCTGGCTTTTACTATACATGTTCATGTAAAACAACACCAGTTTTGTCTGAGAGTTCCTTACATGATGATAAATACTAAGTATAATACTATTTAATAAACTTACTGTAATCTAGATCTTATTAACCACTGCTAACAGTAGGTATATAACAGAACCCAATGACAAATTACTTCTTAGTTAAGTAAAGATGCTCAGTGGAAATTGGCTTCTATGATTATGAATTTCACTATCCATTAATCTGTAAAAAATAAAAACGTCAAATATATCTGAAACATGATGATTGATCATCCTAACCTATTCGTAATTGTTTAGTCTAATGAAAACAATATTCATGGTTATTATTACATTTGTTCTTTATTAATTACAATTATATCTGTTCAACTGCTGTAATATTTACTCTGTACGTTTCCTATATCAGGAATCCAGAGAAGGTGGTGATAGGAGCGTCACTGAAAGTGTCATAACCTTGACCACCGTAGTACTTAACCCACACCGTGTCCCCCTGCTGCAGCTTTAATGTCACCAGATTTGTACCTGTCTCGGCCTGATCATTAGAGTTAGTAACGTAAGCCATAGCTCTGACCTTCCTAGATCCATTTAGAACAATGTCTACATAAATACTGTAGGTACCGTAACTTTGGATACTGGCATAGAACACGTAATCTCCCTCTACAGGAGCGGTGAAGATTCCAGTGTTCGGGTTATAACCTCCTCCCACGTTGTTGATAACTTTATTGTACACCAAGGTACCACTGTTCCACGAACTGCTATCAGACGTCACACCAGCAGTGAAAGCTACTCTCTTTGACAAATCTACAAATTTAGCAAAGTTAATAATTTGTTAGCTTTCTGGGGCTTCAATACATAATTAAAGCTTGTATTTTTCAAAGATTTTGTGTAACATCATTACTGAAATGTTGCAAGAGCGTTTCAGACCGATATATCATATAAGATGTATAATAAAAGGGAATTTGAAAAAAAAAAATGTTTAATTTGAAAAATACGCGTATTTTTGTGCTTTTGAATGTCAAACATCCCGCACGTCTTTTAACAAAATAATTATCCTTTAAAGATGATCCTTGAGAAAGAATTATCAAAGTTAGTTAAGAGGTAAAACAATAACAGACCCGCCCCTTTACATAATGCAATGTTTTAAAAAATACTGTTGTCATTGGAATGTTATAATTTTCGAGTTCAATTCATTACTCTGATGATGTAATGTTTACAAAGAAAATTAATAGAAAATGTAAGTTGTAAACAAATCAGCAATGACAATTTATGTGACAATATTAATGTCCCTGTAAAACAAGAAAAGGAAAGCTAAACAAGAGATTACAAACTTGTATTCCTTTTAAAAAGTCTGATCAAAAACAGTTGACTTTGGGTTAACTTATCAAAATTTACATTTATTAACTGTTCTCGAGCAGCGTGCGTTTTGTCGGATCCAAGAACCAAACTGTTTGGTTCGAGGGATCGACAGAACGCATTTTGCCTAAGAAGATAATCAATAAATCTTCTTATTCCTTCTAACTTTGACATGTCATGAAGTAAATTTCGTTTAGCTGCAGTTCTGTCGAACAGCAACGAACGCAAATAAGATATAGTTGAACCCGCCTACCCGCCTACCCTGTGACGTAAGAGGTAAACTGGTCCACCATCTCAGTCTGCCCGATCAGTAAAACATTTGAATTGTTCTAGACTTTTTTTGAAAATCTATACATTTTCTTCAATATCTACAACCATTCATGTAATGAAACTTTTTAACCATTGTATATTTAAAGTAAATATTTGTAAACAATTATAATATTGTGATGAATTTGATAGACTTCAATGGAATTCAAATTGATTAGAAAATAGTAACAGAATACGAGGGTTGTTAGAAAAGTTCGTGGACACATTGATTTACGGAAAATATATATTGTGTCCTGTGAAGTATGACCTATGTCTGATAAAATTCCCATCTTTTGTTTATTTGTATGTAAAAGCAGGTCCATTTACTAAAAATATGAATATTTACAACGATTTTTACTAGGTATTCAATCACTTGACGTTAAGTGACGTTACATCCAGATTTCAAACCCAATAAGCTTTTTATTAGTTCTAAATATCTTTCATTTCTCTAGACTTTTCTTGACTTAAATTATTTCTACTTAAATATTAAATATTTATTTTAAGACATGTTACTTTTTTTCTATAATGTCTTTTGTGTTGTTTCGGAAATTAGTGTGATCTTTAGATAAATGTCTACGCAGTTAAGCGATCAGGTAACGAAACAAATTGAATGCAAAATCCATAGGTGCAAATTTCATGCGATAAGTTGATTATTGAGGCATTGCAGGAGTTCATGTTTAAAATTGTTAATCTTTCCATTCTTATAAAGCTACTATGATTGGAATAATTTTGTCCTTTTCCCTGTATGCAAATTCCAGCAGCATCTAGAAGCATTTTACTCTATTTTTTTTTTAGGAATTTTCCTGCCTGCACACATAAATTGTAGTAGCTGGGTGCTCCATGACGTTCAATGACGTTCCCATTCTTGGCTTTGTTTTTACGTGTTGATTATATATAAATAACTATAAAATATTCATATACACTTCAATCTGATTCAAAATTTCCCAAAGTGAGATTTTACGAACACTAAAGCGGCAGGTAAAAAAAAATCAAATTTCATTTTGCCCTACAACTGTGCAATTTTTAATTTCATTAATACGTCTATTCTATGTTCAGAAAAGAAGTATGCTCCGTGAAACGTGTTTTATCAAAATAATATAGCTGTACATTTTTGAAGGATCACCAGGAAAACACCAAATCTTTGTATATTTATTGGGAAGAGGGTAAAGTTTTAATCCAATTGTCAGCGAACTTTTCTAACAACCCTCGTACATAAAACATACCGGTATCAGTTTTATTTACTTACTACCCAACTGAGAGGAAACTTTTGTCAAAGACGTCTCTAAAGCTGCAATAGATGACACGTTTGCTTTCATTGCCTCAATTGTCTGTAACCCTGTAAAAAATTGTAAAATCCCTGTGTCAAGAACTTTTTGCATTTGTAAAATTGAGTCTGACTTTTTGAATTGTTCAGTTCACATTGATTTTCTACACATATCTGCATTATCATTCTTTCTATACATTTAGACCTTAGTTTTCCAATTTCAGCTGTTCTAATTCTATATTTTAATGAAAAATTGTCTTTTAGTTGCAAGTTGGATTTTTTGCCGGGCTTTGCTGAAAGCAAAGTCCTGGCTATAGGCGTCATGAACGCCTTTCTTACAGTAACTATAAACAGCTCCACAGAAAAAAAGTAAACAGAAAACCAAAAAGTGTCCAGGCAGATCGATAAACAAAATGGTCAAAATAAGAAACGATACTTAAACACATATTTTTAACATCTCAGTCTTTGGAAAAGTTAATCAATATTTTAGTTTGAGAACTAAATGAAAAGAAGAATAAGATATTTATCTTATTAGGGTTTAATTGCAATAGAGCATTTTGTGCACTTATGCTACTAAATGCACATATACGCGAACTATTTTCAAAAGCGCGGGTTTTTCGCAAGGATACTATAGGCCTAATAAATTGCTATTATCTTTTCATTATCATAATTTCATTATCTCATTATCTTTTCCGTTGGTGTCTAGTTAGTGGTTTCATTTTCTGTTGTGTTTTAGCAGATAAATAAATTAGTACCGTATATACTCGCCTATAAGTCGGTTTTTTTTGGGAGTTAATTTCTGGTCTAAAACTCATTTTCCGACTTATAGGCGAGCTATCAAAAGTAAGGTTTTATATGAGATCAGTCCATCTGAAATGAAAGCTTATTAAATACAACCGACTTATAGGCGGACCGACTTATAGGCGAGTATATACGGTAAATTGGAGTTTGAGGAATTAATATGCAGTAAGAATGAATTTGAAAGATAAGGTATGGTGTACACTATCAGGTATCATAATTTGTATTGTAAATACACTCGAACTCACTTACAATGAACTCTCTTTATTTGAAAGAAATCAGTTACTTTAAAATGAATCTGCATTCCCCTAAAAATGGTACAGTTTCTTTGAAAACAATACTTGGTAAAATGAAATTGGTTTAATAAAACTGTTAATTCGAAGTAATTTTGAGGTCCGCTCACAAGGAACACAAGGACTATAGCATTATTACGTAAATATTACGTAAATATTTCACGGATGTGATTTGATGTCAGTGTTATTTTAAAAATATGATTATCTCTTGTTTAAATATAACAGTTGAACATTTCTCATCAGAATAATTAATAGCCATTCTTTGTAACCGCTTAAACTTCTTTGACACGGATGATAGCCGATTTTTATGAAACTTGCTGTGTGACATTGTTGCCATGGTAAGAGCCTTAAAAGTTTGATTATTTGAATTTTCAACTTCTTCTAATCCTTATTTAGCCTTTATAAAAATATGAAAAGCAAACAAAACACTAAAACATGGCACCTTGTTGCCACTTATGCTGTAAAGAAGGTGTTTAAAAATATATCTTTAAAAGGGCATGGACACAGTTTCAGCTAAAATTTCATTTTTTTCCATTCGTACAAATATTTAACTAGGGTCTTTCAAATGATAATAAAAAAATTGAACATCATTTCTCGAGATACAAGACATATTTAGAGCTCCCAACCTTTGTTATGTAAACAAGGACCGTGTCATGTTTTTGTTTACATAGGTTATATACTACTATATGTTCGTTCAAAGTAGATAATTTCAATAAAAAACTTTTAAATACGATTTCACAGTTACTATTGATTTCATGTTATAAATATGATATTTTCTGTATGTAAACAAAAACAAGACACGAACCTTGTGTCCATGCCCCTTTAAGTAAGTGTAACCAAGGGTACATTTGAAATACATTTAAAATGCTGAGCTATGCTGAATAGCGCTTATTTTTTACTTTTGATAGGTAACGCATCATCAATCTCGATTATCAACTAAGGAAAACCACTGAAAATGTTTGAACAGATGTATAAGCAATATTACTCTATAAATAACTGTACATGTATGGATGCCATGGTAACACAGTATAACCAAGCAAAATCAGTAACTTAGATTGGGTTAATGATACTGTCTTGAGGAAAAACAAGAAAATTAAAGATTGGCATAGAGTCTTAAACATATATTCATATATGGATATTTTACTACAAAAATATTTTAATGGTTATCAAACAACAAAGCTTTTTACGACAAACATGGTGACTTTAACTTTTCGATCGTCAGCTTCCCAAACTTATTTAGTAATATACATTTGTCACCTGTATACGGAGTTTATATATCTCTCTCAGATGATTCGATACGGAAGAACATGCTCTATGTATGAACAATTTCTATAACAAAGTAGATATTGTCAAAAAAGTTGATGAAAGGAGAATATCAGAGGCCTCGCTTAGAGTCATCATTTTGTAAGTTCTGGTCGTTACAATGACCTTGTCAGCAAATACAATTTATCATTCAGTCAAATGCTGACTGATGTTTTTCATGCTAATTGTTAGTCCAGTATTTACACACTGAACGACAGGTTTTCTTTTATACTCCGAGGGGCAGAGGAGGCTCACTCCTCCATGGCATTTGATCCCACCTCTGATGTTTGCTCTTCATCATATTTTTATTAAATATGAAAGCGTGTTCAGTGAAAAGAAAATAGATAATCTGTACTTTTTACTGCTAGCTCCATTATTCCAAAAAGTCGTTTTTAAAAAAAAAAAATTATAAACGAGAGGCCAATGGGACAAGTTTGGGTGAAATCGGCTCAGTACTTAATGCAATTGAGAAGAAAATTTGAAAGGTTTACGATGACGACAATGCTTCCAACAACGACAGACAACGGAAAAATTTAGATCAGAAAAGGTTCAAAATGTCAAATAATCAAACAAAGAAGACAAATGTAAATGTAACATCATTTTACCCAAAATGTTAACGATGCCAGTGATTTCTGACATAATGATGTAAACCTTTCCGATGTTTAATGGTCTAATGTGAAATGTTGACAAAGAATTTGTAGGAGCATTTACTTTATAAATAGGGTTTTGTGTTAGATTATTTTAGAAATAATTAATGAATACCGGAAAACTTGTTATGATTGTAAGCAACAGAACTTCTTATATATCCTATGCTGGAGATTTTTTTTTCTTGTTAAGGATAAATAAAACAAACAATTTTTTCTCCTAAAATTCAGATATTTATGATGAAATGTGTGTATCTCTCACTTTAAAAGTGGCCTAATTTTTGTTTAGTTTAACAGCATGTTGTTTGGCAAAGCCACAAAAGTTGGTGAAAAGTGCAAAAATGCTACTTTACATCTGAATACATTTTTTAAAAAAGTTTTAGAATTGCCTGAATTTTTCTTACAGCAAAGTTTCTGAGGACATTTTCAGCTTTGTAACTATATTTTTTGCTAATTTAGATTTCTGGTACACTTTATACAATGCAGCACGTTTCAAGAAGTATTCAATATTTGACATTTAGGGGGGGGGGGTATCAATATTCCAAATATTATACACTTATCCACTGGTTGTGAGTAGGATTGCTCTTTTATCAAACCCGCGACAGGGAACTATTCTCCAAGGGCTTGCCCGAGGGGAATAGTCCCTGTCAAGGGTTTGATAAAAGAGCTATCCCACTCACAAACAGTGGATAAGCGTTTTATTATACTGATGTATATTATAATTTTTTTGGAGTAAGATAATATACTGTAAGAATAACCTGAAATCCTGATGACGTCACAATGCTACTGAAGGCATTATGACATCATCAGTAGATAGATCTATCGCGTTGGAAATCAAAATTGGAGGCAAAAAATGCAAGGAAATTTTCCAAGGGTGGATAGCAAAAACTATACCCCGGGGTATAGCTTTGCTATGCGTGAACTATACAAGATAGCTATTTTACCTTCTGAACTTTATATAGGAAACATTTTAACAGAAGTATAATAAAGTTCTTTATTCACATGTTATGAATATGAACGAAAAAAAATTAAAACATACTAAATCAATATTCAATATACATGTAGTGACTGATATCAATATTTGATGCGATTTTTAAAATATCGAATCACTAATTAAATGTGTTATCAATAAAGAAGTACAGGCATATCATTTTATATAATGTCTTATTTCTCCATATTTTTTTTTAATACAACCACAGTTAGATCGATTTCACGATAGTTCACGCATAATTGACGATGATTTCACTTGGTATTCCATGGGAAGATAGATGAAAACAAACGCATATATAATTTATAAATACTATATCGTTGAAAAATGATACATTCAGACTAGCAAACTTTCAGAGAATTGTGTTGATCTATCGAAAAGATAAAAATTTGACATCATATTAAGATGATTATTGTAATTTAAAAAAATGCTATGAAATTCTTTTTTTATTATGGTTTATTCAAAATGACCGGAAATAGTAATAGTATCCATAAAGCACATTAGTTCTATTTACTTACTTTCAATTTCAGTTGAAACTTTTGTCAAAGACGTCTCCAAAGCTGCAGTAGATGATACATTCGCTTTCCTTTCTTCAATCATCTGTAACCTTGTATCAAAACTTTTTTGCATTTGTGAAATTGAGTCTTTAACTGTTTGAAATGTTTCATTATCACAGGGAATTAATTTTCTATGTTTATCTACATTATCGTTCTTTAAACGCTGATTTTCCGTTTTAAGTTTTTCTATTTCTGCTTCTAAATGGAAAATTGTCTTTTCAGTCACAAGTTTAAATTTTTCCAAATTTGTTTCTAACATGAGCATTAAATTCTTTAATGTCATAATATCTTTCATTAAGGAATAAACGTTTTGTACCAGAGCCACTCGAATAAGAGCTTCTTGGTTAAGAAGCTGACGGAAACTGTTAGAATTTTCCAACGCATCATTGGTCACTAGTTCTCCAGACATATTTCCAGCACTAAAATTGTGGTTGTTCAGCAATGAAAAAGCAATAAAACACTCGCTTAACAGGCAAAACAGGAAACATCTAAGTAAATGTGCCATTTTTTAGCTACTGATTTTCAATATGTTTATGTGCCTTACCGTCCGCAGATTAAATGTTAATAATAACATACTCAAATATATATTGATATAACTAGTTATTCCCCTTGAAGGTGTATCAAAATATGACATCATTAGTTTGGCAAGTGTCAAGTACGAATATCCTTATCATGCTTAGATTTATGACACCGTTTTAATTATTGTGCTCTAGTCATAAATGTACAAGTGAGTCTATCTGATAACGAGTGTCATTTAAAAACATATTAATTAAGATGGGAAGTGCTTAGGGTTTAAGTAAAATAAACATCTCAAAATGGGATATAATAAGTGTTCAAGTAGAAAATGTAGAAAGGATAGGTTAAGGACGGATATAGAAAAGAGACCAATTATTACAGTAACTACTTTGCAATTCCCAGCGGCGCAAAACATACAAAGCATGGTAACAAGCTTTAAGACCTAACGGAACATGCATCAGTTTTCAAAGGATATTGTTAATAAAAAGATAAAGGATTATATTCCAGCGATATATAAGTAAGACAAAATCGAGGCATCCTTCCAATACCAGGAGTCCTCAGAGTCAAAACATTGCCGTGGGACCCCTTTCAAATTTCATTCGATATTTTATAGCTTGCTTCTCTCATTGAATCAAATAAATTAAAGCTTCCATAATTAGTAAGATAATGTAAACTTAAAGGATTCGGTTTATTTTGTAATTATGTATAGTACCGCAAACCTAGTTACACCACTCAATCTTGAATTCATATGTTTATATATATGTCAAAAAATGTCATTATGTAATATATACACTGTAAGAAATCGAAAATCTGAAACATAATTCTACTCCGTATTCCTGTTCTTCTTCACCATATGTTTATTGTTCTACTGGACAGGTTAATTACTTATAACGTATTGATAGTAAGGGCCAAAATTTCGGAATCTTGTCATAATTTTGAAAATATTATGGATTCTTTGGAAGATTGCGCCAGGCGATGGACCAAACATGAATAAAAACCTCGAATTGTCGAATTGTCACAATGAATTAAATGTATCCGATGTATGACCGCTTAAATCTCGCAAAATGAAAAGCAACTATTCTTCTGTGTTCAATAATTCAGAAGTGAAAAAAAAATTACGCTGTACGATCAGTATGAACTGGTCCATGCTGACAAAGCAGGTAACAACACTGTTGTAGTTTGAAAGACTCATTATCTACGTTGTACTTTAGAGGAACTGCAATTAGTTCTACAAGTGGTAATCCAACTTATACCCATACAACCATACTAATGTTATTGTGATTTAAATTCAAGACATGTGGTTTAGGTTGACATATTCAAAAGTTATAGGATAGAACCGCTTTTATAAATAGAATTGGCAGTAAACAGGAAATTACCAGAGTCTGTTTCTGTTGAAAACATGTCCTGTGAAAAATGTGTTTCCAGACGTTTCTGAGAGACTTTCATGATTTTCAATAGATAAGGGTGGCCAAAGGGGGAGGGCGTAAAAAAAAACAACATATCACCATAATACACGGCGAAAATTAGAGCTCACTAGCGACCGATACGCTTATAAAAAATGTGTAATATCATCTACACTGACAAACCTTTGTTTGCCTTATGTGGCTATCGTTATGAATGCAAATAGACGATCTTATCACAGCAATTGACCAATCGTTGAATGAATAGCAACGTTTACGCCAAATACATGTTTACATTTTACTTCGAACACGTAGTTCAGGTTAATCTATGATCATGTCAATGGAGTGCAAAATAAAAAAGAATCTTATGAACTGAACAAAATACAAAGATAAGAATTTATGAAAGATTTCACTGGTGTTTTTCATTTGTTGTTAAGTAAAAAATATTTTTCTTCAAATATAGCTTATGTCAAGTTGAGAACATCAGCGCTTCAAGGATTAAGGAAAGCGAGCAGCATCTCCTACGCATTTAAATGGACAAAACATTTTTACATAACTATTCTCGCAATCACGTGTTTGGCCAGGATATCTACATGACAATTGTATTCACCGATAGTACAACAAAGGAATTAATACAGACGCAATCGCTTTGCAGTATGACTTTGAGAAACGTAGACTTCCATCGCTCATTTAACAGTGAATTGTTTGTCAATATGACCATGGAAATAATAGAATTATAAACATGCTTTTCAGTTACGAAGTGGATGGGAAAATGGTCTTTGTTTCCTTTTTTTTCAAGCGTAAAATTTCTGTAGTAATCGTAGTAACCCATAATGCAATTTTCATTCATCTGATTTGTCAGTTGTCATGTTAGTGCCTCATTTGCTAATCTGACGCCAAAAAATATAGTCCCAGTTCCCATGCAAAATAATTATCCAAAAAGAAATTTTAATTCATGACTGCAGAAAATTGTTTCATAGAGAATACTTATTAAGTTTGAATGAATTCAAGAAAAATCGATTGAAGTACATTTCTACAAATATTATAGGGTGATGAAAACTGAAACGTAACAACTTTTCTGTTTACCGTGTCTCCACGTGCTAGTTACTTTCTAGCCATATTTCCGTGAATAATTTATCCTATTTCGCTGTAGTCTCGCTACTCTCGCCAGGGCTACTCTGAACTCATCGGGTTTTATAATTTGCAGAGCACCGAAAAATAAAAGGTACCGAAGCCATTAGTAGGGGTGCCATAGCTCCCTTTCTATTTTTATTTGTTAAAAAAATATTCTTCGTGAATAAGTATACTAATTTGTTTAAATTTTTATAGTTACGTTATTACAATTTCAACATATCCCTGTGAGCTTGAAATAAAAGATACCACCGAAACTAGCACTTCCACTTCATATTTGGAAATTTTATTTGAAGAAGACCTTAATGAAAATCTAATTACGAAAATTTTGATAAACGTGAGACGTTTAAGTTTTCAATCGTCTACTTCCTTTACTTATGCAGAAACATACCTTTATCACCTGCACACAGTTTTGATCTCTGGGTTGGTTTGATACGCGAAAGCATGCTCTGCGAATTATTAATTTCTAAAACGATGCGAGTTATTGACAAACAGGTTGATGAAACAAGAAATTCAGCAGTCTTGTTTCGATATATCTAAATGTATAGACAAAGGCCATGATCACAGCAAGTTGACCATGTTTTCCTCTTTTCACGAATAAGACTTTGGACGAATTATGCTTCGCATGAATACAAAAATAGTTTTGGTAATAACTGGGTGCAATGGGTACCCATGGAAATTCCAATTGATTGTTGGAAGACCATATCTCCAAAAACCACAAAGATATTGTAAATAAGAAACTCCTGCATTCTTTAAATGTCAACTTCACAGAAGTTAACTTGTGTGCACAATAAGAATGTTTTTGACAGAATAATTTTGTAAAATACAAATGACTAGGTAAATAAAGATTTACGAGTTCCATTGAATGAAAAAGCAGCTGTCCATGATATAATAAAAAGTGGACCTTAATTTATTTTGGGGAATCATTGTGTATTAAATTAAAAAGTTGTAAGTTTTTAAGCTGTTAATTTTTGTAAAATCTTGAGATTTCAAATTTTCAAAAAATTCCGAACTTTTAAGTATCCATCTGACGATTTACACCACTTCTCGAATATATTGTTGCACAGGACTTTTGAAGTTTCTCCTTCACATCTTTTAAAGGGATATACTGTAAATCACTTTTTATTTGCGAGAACTTTATTTTCGCGAAATTACGCGAGGCAGTGTGCTCGCCAAAATTTAATTCTCGCGTATAAAAGTATTTCTAAAGATTATGTAGAGCAATAACTACAATTCGTGAAAATTTTGTCTCGCTAATCAAGAGTCAATGACTATCTCGCGAAAATAAGGTGTCGCGAAAATTTAGTGATCTACAGTATATAAAACTTGAACTGATTTTTATAAAAAACAATTCTAATGTTTACCTTTCCTAATTAAGGCAATTCTAATGATCAGCAAAACATTGAATATTTTTTTGGATGTAGAGAATAGATGCAGAACTTAAAATTCCTCATAATATAAAGAAAACCCGTGCATAGCTTTTGTTTACATATAGCAAATATCATATTTATAACAAACTGATGAGATTCAGCAATCACTGGTAACTGTCTTATCATACATGTATTCAAAAATGAATTCTTTATTTAAAAAAATATACTTTGAACGAACATATACTAGTTTATTTAACCTATGTTAATAAAACTATGGCACAGACTTTATTTACGTAACACACTTTTGGAACTCTAAATCACTGTATGAAAAAAAAACAGTTTCCGAAAGATGAAAACTATGCAAAAACTTCAGCTTACTTATAGTTTCCGCAAAGCCTTAGTGCTGAAACTAAGCTGTTCACAAATCCAAATGGTGTGCGCAACTGAAACCTGGTGAAACTTGAAGTATATGTAAGGTTTCAGTATGCGTAAACATTTGATATAAAAGCAGTTTACTATGGTTCTGCATTGGAGAAACTTGATGAAATTTAAGCATTTTAAGTGTATGAATAGTTTCAGCGTGCGTAAACATTTTATAAACAAGCAGTATACAATGGTTTTTGCATTGCAGAAACTTGATGAAGCTTAAGTATTTGAATAGTTTCAGCGTGCGTAACCATTTGATATACAAGCAGTATTTAATGGTTTCAGCATTGCAGAAACTTAAAAAAACTTTACTTTATACACTTACTAGCTTTCACATTTGATTGATTCAGCTGATTTGTACTATTTGTCAAGATTCTGCTTGGTATTTGTTCATGTCGAAAACAAACAGAAGTTATTTGCAGTCGACGATTTGATTGGTCGATAGAATATGACCTCTGATGTGACAAGTTATTAGATGTTAGTGTAGCAAGTATGCCAGCAGATCAAACTTTAATTTTAATCAGATTGACAGAATGAAAATCCATAATGCTGTCCTAGTACAGTCCTTTTTTATTTATTTAACAATTTCAGCATTTTTATTAGAAGACTTAAATTAACATTTAAAACTTTAAGTGTAAAGGCTCACTAGTCTATTAAAGTTGCCTCTTTAAACACCAGGGAGAATGAATTAAACAAACCTGGATTCAATTTAAATGAACCTGAATATGTATG